CTTTTATGTTCACCAATACCACATTTCATTAGACCTTTTGGAATTTAACAGGTCTGCCAGGCATGAATGGTATCCCAGTACAGTTTTGATTGATTTTTTAAAAATAAATTGGGTATTATTTAATATATTGAAAGGTCATTTACATTTCTTTCTTTGGAAACTATCTGTTCATGTCCATTGACTATTTTTCACTGAGAGATTGATTTTTCTCTTGTTGATTTCTGAGAATTCTTTATTGAGGAGATTATCATTTAATAATTACTTAAAAATCAACTGAGTTTTGACTTTGCTTGTATATTCTTGTTTCTTAATTATGCATTTGTATATCTATCTCTTGCTTTGTTTGCTTTGTAATATTCAACTTTTTTTATTTTAGTGTCGTAAAATTTATTTTTCCTATGTATTTCAAATATTGAGTCACTGTATTAGTTTTCTATGTTGTGTAACAAATTACCACAAATTTAGCAGCAAGAAACAATATACATTTATTATCTTACAGCTTCTGTGGGTTAAAAATCTGGGAACTACTTGGTATGCATGGGGGTCCTCTGCTCAGGGTCTCACACAAAGCTGCAATCAATGTGTTGGCTGGGCTGTGCTCTTCTGTTCTTATCTGGAGACTCAACATTGGAAAAATTTACTTCCCAGCTCCCTCTCGAGGTTGGCAGAATTAATTTTTCTTCTGTAGGATTCTTGGACTCTTGCAAAAGATAGAATGAGAAAGAGAGAGAGAGGGAAAGAGAGAATATCAAAATTGATGCTGCACTCTTATATTCAGACTGACATATAATTATGTAAGTCCCATCATATTTGCCATATTCTATTGGTTAAAAGCAAGTCTGTCCATCTATACTCAGGCAGAGGGGATTTTCACAAACATATGAATACCAGGAGGCAGGAAGATCACCTTAAGATCTGTCCACCATGGTCATAATATGAAGGGTCTTACCATGAAGTTTTAAAGACATTTGCCATACTTTAATATATCTATGATTCATTTATTTACATTTAAATCTTTTGATTCGTTTGGAGTTTATCCTGTTGTGCTATGTGAAACATGGATCTAATTTAATCTTTTCCCCAAGGACTGCTTAGCTGTTCCAAAACCATCCATTAAAAAGTTCAACTTTGTCCAAATCATTTAAGATACTAGTTTTATCATATATAAAGTCATTTAAATATCTAGAAGTATTTATGGGTATGGTAGGCAGAGCAATGGTCTTCCAAAGGTGTCTGCATACTAATTCCTGAATCTATGAATATGTTACATTATATGGCAAAGCGGAATTCAAATAGCAGATGTGATCTGGTTTACTAATAGCTGACATTTGTATAGGGAAATTATCCTGGGTTATCTGGATGAACTTGGCAGAGTCACAGTCTTTAAAAAATGTTTTTTAATGTTTATTCATTTTTGAGAGACAGAGCAAGGGCACAAACAGGAGAGGGGCAAAGAGAGAGGGAGACCCAGAATCTGAAGCAGGTTCCAGGCTCTGAGCTGTCAGCAAAGAGCCCAACGTGGGGCTCAAAACCACAAACTGCAAGATCATGACCTGAGCTGAAGTTGGACACTTACCCAACCGATCCACTCAAGCACTCCAGAGTCACAGGGTTCTTAGAAGTGAAAGCAAGAGACATAAGAAGAGTCAGAGTCAGAGTGATATGCCTGCAGAAATACTTGACCAGCCACCTACATGTTGAATGTGGCAGGGGCCATAAAGTGAGAAATTCAGGCAGCTTCTAAAAGCTGGTAAAGGCAAGAAAAAGGATTCTTCCCTAGAACCTCTAGAAGGAATACAGCCCTCCTGACACATTGATATTAGCCCATTGAGACTAATTTTGGATTCAACCTCCATCTTTACTGAGGAACAATTGACAAATGAAAATTGTGTATATTTAAGGTGCACACCATGATGAGTTGATAACAATACATTGTATAATGACTACTAAAATCAAACTAGACATCCATCACCTCTGAGAGTTACCATTTATGTGTGTGTGGTGAGAACATTTAAGATGTATTCTTTTGGAAAACCTCAGGCATATAATACAGTATTGTTAAATATGGCCACCATGCTGTACATTAGATCCCCAGGACATATTTGTCTTATAGCTTGTATTTCTTTGACCAACATCATCTCTCCATTCCTCCTACCCTGAAGCTTCTGGCAACTCTCATTCTACTCTGCTATGAGTTCAACTTTTTTTAGATTTCACATATAAATGAGATCGTATAGTATTTGCTTTTCTGTGTCTGGCTTATTTCACTTCACATTTTTATCCATGTTGTTTCAAGTGGCAGGATTTCCTTTTCTTTATGGCTGAGTAATATTGCATTATATACAATATATAAATAATATTCCATTATATTTACATATTAAGTATATTTATCAGTTAAAACATATAGTGAAATAGAAATCCAAGCTGCAACAGCATAAAGAACACAGCATAACAGATGAAATACTTAGAAATAATTTTTAAAATAAATGTGCAAAATTTATTATGCTGATACCTCGCTAAAGCTTGTGTTCATTTTCATAGATTTTCATTTGACTTTTTTCACACTAGTTGTATAATCCTCTTATCTACAAATAGTTATATTTATTCTGTTCATTTTTTGTATGCAAGTAATTTTTTTCTATTTCTAGCTGAATCAGCTTATACAGGCCATAGAAGTTAAATAGTTAGTGGTGATAGTGGAATGCCTCCAGTGTTTCCTCTATTAAGAATGTTTTTGAGGTAAATAATTTTAAGGACTTAGCCACTAATTTCTACTTAGTTGCATATTTAGCAAGAATGTATATTTGTCAAGTGACTTTGTAGTGACTATGGAGAATACCATGTGATTTTTCTTCAGATATATTAAATAGTCAGTCATTTGTTTTTTGTTTGTTTGTTTGTTTGTTTGTTTTAGTCATTTGTTTTAAGAAAATCTGTTGAAAGCTAATTTATGTGCCAGGTACTATTGTAGGCATATGGAATACAATGGAGAAGGAAACAGATAAAAAGCTTACAATAATGGCAGGAGAGAGAGAGAGAATAAATGAAAATGATGATATGTAAGTACATTGAATCAGTTCTAGAAGATGATCAGAAGTGGGGTAGCAAGTGCAATAGAAGAAAAGCATGGAGCAGGGCAAGAAATCAGAAGTGCCATGGGTGAGAGTAGGAGAGTTGCAACTTTAAACAGGGTGGGCAGCATAAGCTTTGTTGCGCAGGTGACATTGAAGCAAAGTATCTTAGGAGGTGAGGGACTTAACCTCGTAGATATTTGGTGGAAGCTTGTATTTGAAGCTTTGCAGACAAAGAGTACTGAGGTGCAAAGATGTTAGGGCAGAAATGTTACTGGATTGTTTGAGGAGCAGCAATGTTCAGTGTGACTAGAGTCAGGTGCCTGAGGAGAGGAGTGACAGAGACAACAGTTGCTGGGTTATATAGACTTTTTAGGTCAGCATAAGAATTTTTGGCTCTTCCTTGAGTGAAATAGGAAGTCGAGAGGTTTTGGAACAGAGAAGTAACATGATCTGACTAATACGTTAAAGTGATACATTTATTTTAAATACTGTTCATGCATTTTATCATATTGAATGATCTTCAAATAAGCCATATTTGGTACTACTATGCTTTTCAAAGTATCAATGGAGTCTGTTTGCTAATATTTTCTTTAGTATTTTTACATCAATAGTCAAAAGTGAAATTGGTCCAGAGTTTGTGTTTGTGTGTTTTGAGTCATATATATACATATACATATATACATATATCCTCAGGATCAATATTAGTGTTTTTGTAAACACCAATAAAACACTAATAAGATACTAATAAACACTTCATAAAAATTTGAGAGGTTTCCTTCATTTTTCTATGCTTTCAATGCTTAAAGAAAATTAATATTATCCTTTTTTTAAAAAAAAGGTTTCCTGGAATTCTCCTGGGAAAGCAGAAACATATTCTTTATCTGTATTCCTGCATTAGACCACAGAAGAGAAGAGAAGTCACTTTGTAGGGTTCTGTGTAGCAAAAAAAAAAAAAAAAAAGTAAAGTGGTAGAGATAGTCTGGCTTTTAAGAAATGTCTTTTATAAAATAATGCAAGGAAAAGCCTTTGTGAGTTTTTCTTATATGAGGAAATAGAAGATGATTTTGCTCTTGATTTTTAATATGATTCTCACATCAAATTAAATAAAAATATTTATTGAGCATCTACTGTATGATTATGAAATTAATGTATACTTGAAGTTATATTGTGTCTTAGCTAACGACTGTTGTAAGAACCCATTTAAAGTTTTGATATTATCTAAAATGTTTAATGTTTATTTATATTTGAGAGAGACACAGAGAGAGAGAGAGAGAGAGAGAGAGAGAGAGAAGCAGTGCACAAGCAGGGGAGTGGCAGAGAGAGACAGAGACAGAATATGAAGCAGGCTCCAAGCTCTGAGGGATCAGCACAGAACCCAATGCGGGGCTTGAGCTGATGAATCATGACATCATGACCTGAGCTGAAGTTGGATGTTCAACTGACAGAGCTACCCAGGTGCCCCAATATTGTACAAAATGTCTTAAAGAACTAGTTCTTGATGTTTTCTCTCTTACATCCTACTAATCACTCTTCAATTTTATCAACTTTGCACACAGAGGGTGGCCTATACTATCTTTTAAATCATCACTATTTTCTAAGTAGAAACTGAAAGAAGAACTAGGAACCCCCAGACGAAAAGAAAGAGGCTCTTAGCTTTAATGAGCAGAGTAAGTTGATACCTTAGTCTGCACTTTCAAGGTATCTTCCATAAAATAAAATCATGATCTCAAAGGAATATTTGCATCCTCATGTTCAATGCAGCTTTATCTGCAGTAGCCACAACATTGAAACAACTAAAGTATCTACGTGGCATGTCTATATGTGTGTCTGTGTGTATTGTGTGTATCTATATCTACATCTGTCTATATCATCTATAGCTCTCTGTATGTACCTATATTCCATTTTGTGTGTATATAAAAACAAGAAGTGCTTACTTCAACAGCATGTATACCAAAATTGGAATGATACAGAGAAGGCTAGCATGGCCTCTGTGCAAGGGTGACATAAAAAAAAGGAAATCTTGCATTTGTGAGAACATGGGTGAACCTGGAGAACATTATGCTAATGAACTAAGCCAGATTCAGAAAGGTAAATACTGTATCATCTCACTTACATGTGGAATCTAAAAAAGCTAAACTCAGAAACAGAGAGTAGAATGGTGGTTGCCAGGGCCTGAGAATGTGGGAAATGGAGCGATGGTAGTCAACGGGTACACACTTTCAGTTATAAGATGAATACATTCTGGGAAGTGAATGTGGAGCATGGTGACAATACTGTATTTGGGTACATAAAAATTGTTAAGAGAGTAGATCTGAAATGTCATCACCAGGAAAAAATAAGTATATGAGATGATGGAGGTGTTAACTAACCTGACTGTGGTCCCTGTTTCACAGTATATACATGTATCAAATCATCTTGTTATAGAACTTAACATATGAAAGTGGAATGAACAGTGGGGGATTATTTCTCTCTCACGACAAGTGAAGTAGTAAAGTGATTCCAGGATTGGCTTAGTAACTGTAGAGTTCCAGACCTCTGGGGAGTCTTCTCTTTGATTTTGTTGACTTACCCTCATTTTTACAAAGGGGCTGCCACTATACCAAGTGTGACATCTCAGCAGTCCTCAAATTCAAGAAGAAAGGGGAAATGTTTATGAAAGTCCCCCACCCCCTTTTTATCAAGAAACTGTTTTTCAGATCTATCACTACTGGAAATGAATAGGTCAAATGTCTACTAAAGATTCTCTGGCAAAGGGAAGGTAGATTATAATGATTTCCATGAACCAATCATGATTTATTCCCTGGGTCTCAGAGCATTACTGCCTGAAACCTGAACCAAACTAGGATTCTGTTCAAAAGAGTAAAGTGTTCTGGGTAGACATTCAAGTGTTGACCTCAAGCTAAGAGCCAACACTTAGTGACCTTTTCTAGCGGAGGACAGAGCCATCTGTGAATATATACTGTTTCATTTCTATATTCTCGTATCTGCAAGTCACCAAGTCGAAGCAATGGATCTCTGGTCTCCAACAGGTCTTCGTTAATCTGTATGTTGATGAGTGCCAGCCCATTTTTTCCAGCCAAACTCTTCCTGATTTCCAGATCCATAAATATCTAATTGTCTAATACATAATTAGATTTTCACTTGGATGTCTCATAATTATGAAGAGCTCAACAAATCCATAGCTGAACTTGTGATCCTTAGCCTATCTGTGTCTCCCCTTGGAGTCCCTGCCTGGGAAAATGGCTGCACTATGTGGATTTACAGTCGTTCTTGCCTCTTCATTAAAACTCATGTCTAGTCACTGAATTTTATGATTTTTGACTTCTAAATATCTCTTAGATCCATTCACTTATATCCATCTCTATTAATTTGCTATATGGTATAATACAATATCACAAACTGAGTGGCTTAAAAATGAGAAATTTATTTTCTCATGGTTCTATAAGTTTGAAGTCCAATATCAAGGTATATCGGAGTTGAAGCCTCTCTCCATGGCTTGCAGACTGCCGCCTTCTTGCTATGTCTTTCTGTGGTCTTTCCTCTGTGTGCACACATCCTTGTCTCTCTGTATGCCTGTATTTTTCTTCTTATAGGAACGCCAGTCAAGTTAGAATAGGACCTACACTAACATCCTTGTTTTAATGTAATCACCTCTTTATAAGACCCTATGTCCAAATGCGGTCATGTGCTGAGGTATTGGTGGTTAAGGCTTCAACATCTGAATTTTGGAGAATACATATTAGCCCATAACACCATCCAACTTCTAGCTTCTTAACTTTGGCTATTATCATCTCTTGCCTAGATTACTGCAAGAGCCTCTTTTCTTCCCCTGTTCTTTCCTTGTTCTTCAGGTAGAGTGTTCTTTATGTCTTATCATGACATCCTATGTTTAAAATACCCTCGATAATATTTTGCTACTTTGGGGCACCTGGGTGGCTCAGTCAGTTAAATGTCTGACTTCAGCTCAGGTCATGATCTCACGGTTCGTGGGTTCGAGCTCCGCATCAGGCTCTGCGCTGACAGCTAGCTCAGAGCCTGGAGCCTGCTTCAGATTCTGTGTCTCCCTCTCTCTCTCTCTGACCCTCCCCTGCTCACGCTGTCTCTCTCTCAGAAATAAATAAAGCATCAAAAAAATTTTTTAAATAATATTTTGCTACTTTAACTTGGTGTACGAGGCCCTTTGTTATCTGTCTCTGGTCAACATTTCATCTTTATTTTTGTACAAGTATTTCTCCACCACACTCTTCATTGAATTTATTTTCTGACCATATGGATTATTCAGGTATTCAAAGTGACTTGCTCGACAGACTCTGGGCTCTCAAATACTCACTTTGTTTGTAACTTATTTCCAGTGTGGAATAATTTGCTGTCTTTTACTTTCTCCATTATCTTGTGTCATCACAATCGTGCAAACACCTTTAATCACTAATCAGCATTTAAGAAATCTCAAGCACAGTACCAAAGAGGAAATACTAAAAGAGACTCTCAACATTAATTTTTTTTTTCAATTTCAGTATAATTAACATACAGTGTTATATTAGTTTCAGGTGTACAATATAGTGATTCAACAATTCTGTATATTATTCAGTGCTCATCACAATAAGTGTACTCTTAATCCTGTTCACCTATTTCACCCTTTCCCCCACCCATCTCCCCTCTGGTAACCACTAATTTGCTCTCTATATTTAAGGGTCTGGGTTTTTTGTCTCTTTTTTCTTGGTTGGTTTTGTTTCTTAAATTACACATATGAGTGAAATCATGTGTTAATTATATTTCTCTGACTGACTTATTTCACTTAGTATTATATTCTCTAGATCTATCCATGTGGCAAATAGCAAAATTTTATTCTCTTTTATGGATGAGTAATATTCCATTGTATATAGGTACCTCATATTCTTTATCCATTCATCTGTTGATGGATTTGGGTTGCTTTCATATCTTGCTATTATAAATACTGCTACAATAAACAAAGGGGTGCATATATCTTTTCAGATTAGTGTTTATATATTCTTTGGGTAAGTATCCAGTAATGAAAGTGCTGAAAAATATGGTAATTCTATTTTTTTTTTGAGAAAATTTCATACTGTTTTCCATAGTAGTAGCATCATTTTGCATTCCCACCAGCAATGCATGAGGGTTCCTCTCTCTCCACAACATTGCCAATACTTGTTTCTTGTGTTTTTGATTTTAGCCATTCTGACAGCTTTGAAGTGATATCTCATTGTGGTTTTCATTTGCATTAAGAGACTCCCAAAATTTAACATCTTAAAAGTTCCAACAAAAATAAACATCATAGTATTAACATTCAATGGTATTTTCAGGGTTATAAACCAACTAATATGATAAAGTAATTAATATTTTACCTTTAGAAACTAAAACGCTAAGAGATCTATGGAAGTCATTGGATCTCTTCCTTTCCCTTCAGAGATCTGCATACAAATGTCAGTCATTTAATATTTCTTGAAAATATGATTCTGTAATTTCTAGTGATCCAATTTTCATTATATCACCATTCTCTTAACTTGATGCCATGCAGAAATCATTAGGATCAGAGAGGAAGCATGATTTGTTCAAGCAACCCTTTTAACAGCCTTGTAAATAAGCACTGGAACTTTATAGTTGACTGAGAATCTTTACCTGCTCTACTGCTTCCATAGAGATACATTGGCCATAAAAGGAATGAAACTAGTGGTTGTTTGTTTGCCTGGTATAAATTATTACTCACTTTTGGGAGAAAGGAGATTGCTGTTTCTAAGGTTTCTGTGTGTACATTCAACCTAAAAGGCATCATATTTTCTTACTGACTTTAAGATGCTGTGAAAAGAGCTCACACCACTCTTTTTTAACTTTTAATTATGCAGCAGCATCTTACATAAGTCAAAGAATCACTTCACCTTCATCTAAGTTACATGCTTTTTCAATTATTGTACTCAGAATGATCTTTATTCAGTCCAAATTTATTGTATTCCTCTTAGAGATGGTATATGTACTTCTGGAAATTTAAGTGAGGAAAATAATCCAAAAGAGGAAAAGATTTTATGCACAAATAGGTTCATTCCATCATTATTTCCAATTTCAGTGATTGACAAATTAGAAGAATAAAAATATTTAATAGTAGGATAAAAATCTAATACTATTTAATAATGGAACAAGAATTAATTACAATTTGATAAATAAAATGCAAAAATATTTATGAAGAAGTTGATGTACAAAGGGAAGAGTCTTTGTTATCATGTTTAGTTAAAAAAAACAACAACAACAAAATAAAACCGAGAGGGTACCTGGATGGCTCAGTGAGTTAAACATCTGACTCTTCGTTTTGGCTTAGGTCATGATCTCAGGGTTCCTGAGATCAAGTCCCATGTTAGACTCTGCACTGATAGTGCGGGGCAGGCTTGGGATTCTCTCTCTCTCTCTTTCTCTGCCCCTCCCCTGCTTACTCTCTCTCTCCCTCTCAAAACAAACAAACAAACAAGCAAACAAAAAGCAGGAAATAAACTTCCAGATACAATAGATCAATTACGAAAACTCACCCTGTATATACAGAGCAAAGATGGAAAAGGTTAAAACTGGGTATCTCTAGACTATAGAATTATAAAGGATCATTATTTTTTGTGCTTTTCTCTATTTTCTAACTTCTGTATATTTGTTATATTTTGCATTTTATTTATTATATATATATATTTATTATTTTAGGAGAGAGAGAGAGAGCATGAGCAGGGATGGGAGGCAGAGGGAGAGAGAGAGAATCCTAAGCAGGCTCCATGCTCAGTGCAGAGCCCCACTTGTGGCTCAATCCCACAATACTGGGATCATAACCTGAACTGGAATCAAGAGTTGGACAACTGAGTCTCACAGGTGAACCTGTTATGTACTATTTTTATAATTCATCAATATTTATTTTAAAAATTACATTTGAATAATTATAGTATGGAAAATTTTATATATTAATTTTTGTAAGTAGAATGCAAAGTATTAGTCATATTATGATCTTAGTTATGTTTAACAGTGAAGATAATTGAAGTATCAGAA